CGAGACGATTTCAGATATAGGATGAGGTAAATTCCAAATTACTTTACAGTTTGCTGCTGGTTATTCAGTTTCTCTTTCCACCACTTTAGCTAATTATTTTATTCCCTTTAGCCTATTAAAACGTTTAACTTTCTTAACCACAGCATTCACTGCTGGCTGCAATTAATAAAGACAATATTATCAGCATTAATGCTGCTCTAATCCTAGACATCCAATCTCCCCTTCACACTGTTGCCCCCCCCAACCCTCCCTCCCTCCCTCATCCTAATCTAGCAGTTTGGACTTGCCCCAGCTTTGCCCTGGTGGATCTCCACCAGCTTCCTTGATTGGATTTAAATACATTTCCATCTATATGTTAATGCAACCACAGGTGACAAGCCAATCTACAACTGATATGCGTTTACCCGAGCATGAAATTGGGGAGCACAAACAAAAATAAGGATGAGAACACGGCATGAGCAGCATCTTGGCGACGTACAGTACATTAAAATTTGACAGCGTGAGCGGGATTGCCTCGGCCGCACGATTTGCAAAGTCCTTTTAGCGGCCAGTCCTTTGAGAACTGGTCGATGACGGGTTTTATCAGTTTGGGGGAGGCTGGAGACAGTGCTTGCATCGCCCAATCAGAAGTGACGCTGAAAGAAGACATCAACCGCCGGTGGCTTGGAACTGAGATGACGAGCGGTTGGGATAATCAAAGGAGCTGGGTGAAAGGGGGGGGGAGGTGGGGTGATGAGGTTAGAGTGTCCGCACTGAAGCTCTGCCAGGAAGTTTGTGTCTGGGCCAATGAGCTGGGAGAGGAAGCGCTGAGTCAGGAACCCCGGCCAAGAGAGGGGCCTGTGGTGCTGGCATCTCCTCCTCGCACACACGTTACAATGGTTCGCACACCACCGCCCCACTGGAGTCATAACACGCTGTTCCCAAGCCAGCACCGCGCACGCATGTGCACGACACGGGTGCACATGCGTGTATACACGCAGGGATGTGACGCCAAATACCTGTGGCACCAAAAAAAACCCAAAAAACTGCAGAGATTTTTTAATTTCTAAAAAAGAACAAAAGAAAATCAGGTCCGAAGAGACTAAATTTAAATTTGTCCATGTGAATGATACACTGGCTGAAAGATGCACCTTTGAAGTGATCTATTAGAGACAACAGATAACTCTGATGTGCAGCAGAGAGCAGGTGCAGACATACCCGAGGGTTATTACACAGCCTGAAACTCTGATATCTTCATTATCCCTTTCATAGCATGACACAAAAAGAGAGGAGGCAAACACAAGCCTCTAAAGAGCTCCTTATCACAGGAATCTCTCTGCTGTGGCAAAATGCTCGTGCGTGCATGTGCGCGCGCGCGCGCGCGCGCGCGCGTGTGTTGGCATTGGGCGTTGATGTGTTTGATGAGAAGGTCAGAGAGGACAGAGAAGGAGGGGGAAAAAAAGGTAGAGTAGGAGCATCAGCTTTCTATAGCTGCAACCAATAAGTGGACAGCAGGGAAATAATGAATGCAATCTTAAAGGAACACCAGCAGCAGTACAGTTAACGCATTTTGCAAATGTACACATTTGCTTTGTGAGATAAGAAAACATACGCTTGTTTTCATATAAAGCTACATCTAGCAAGAAGTTAGTTCAGAGTCTCAAACATGGATTTGTGAGGCCACCGGTGAGAACAATGGTGCAATTCCCTGATGATGCCGGTAAAAGTTCACGCTTTTGGCCTAACTTCAGCTCACCATCTCATGGCTCATACTTTAATCAAGTTCTATCTTTTTCTAGATGCATTTATGCATCAAATTGTTCCTTTAAGGCTTAATCCTGAATAAATAAATATTAGATTAAGGTGGCACAAGGTTTTTAATTTAACTTGACCTTTTTCGTTTCAAATCAGTTCTGTGCATTATTATTTTCATTATTTATACTACTCTTAATACAGATAAGCAGCTAAGACGGATAATGATGTCATTCCCATTCAAAATCCAAACATTAATCTATGTCTATAACACATTTTTATGACTGCTAGATCAAGGATCCCTTCTTCTCTGCTTGGCAAGTGTCTGAAAACAGCACAAAAACTCATCGGTACTAAAGCTTCTCCTAAGTCTCTCTCGTTGACCTGAATTTTGCTAAAAGCTATAAGAACACTTTAGAAGCCCGCTCCGTTTTAAACTCTCTTAATATCTTTAAATGCCTGACAATGAAAGGCTAATAGAAATCCTCATATCGAGCATTAGGAAAATAAAAAGCTGTCTGGCTTCTTTGATAATGGAGTTCAATGTCTTTTTCTTTTTCTTTTTTAATGCCATAGTGTTAAATTAGAGTAACTTTCCCCCCTTGGATACAAAGACAATAATACTGGGTGGCACTGCTGAGAATGAATAAATCCACATCTTTATTTGAAAATGTAAAAAAATAAAACAACAACCTGAGTGTACTTCAAGCAAGCTGGTGCCACTTGAACCAACGAGAACAAAGGAAACCTTACATAAGCCCAGTGAGTTTGACCTTGCTGTCTGCGCAGCCTTGTCCACTGTTCTTAATCTCAGGGGCATAAATTAGCAGCACCTACAGCATGCTCCGAGTTTCCAAGAGAGCGGAGAAGTCCGCGGGAGTTTGTTGCTGGGTCTCGGGGAATGACTGCACTTGTCACAAAGACTAAAGACAGCTCTCTCACTCAGCACCCAGAGACAGTGAAGCCTCAAAGTCAAGGGTGGGCAAGAATGCCCTGAATAGGCAGTTACGTAAAAACTCACAGCACCCTGGGAGGATAGAGAAGGAGCTGCTTAGGACCTCACAATGCTGACTGAGGCCAAACTGTATCACAGGGCCAGAAACGTACAGTATAAGTGTCTTTAGTGTGTGTGAAACTAAGGCAGATTTACATTTTCACAATAAATGAAGACAAAAAAGCCAAATAAAGTCTTTTCATTTGAATAGGAGGATCTCCATGCAAACACCCCCTATAGTGCAAACTATATGGGAAAAAAAAGACTCCAGCCATTCATTTTCAACAGTAAACCTGTCGGGGTGGCGCTGAAGTCTAACTAGGCTGAGATGGGAAGAGAGCAAGAGTGCACCCTGGACACGCAACCATGCAAATTAACAATCAGCAGCTAGTCTGACATGCACGCCTTTGAACTGTGGGAGAAAAAGAAGCAGAACCAAACAAAACTCAGCGCAGGCACAAGGAGAGCACGCAAGCTGCACTCAGAAGCATCGCAGCCAAGCCAAGCGAGCAGGATAGTACTCAGAAGCCTCTTGCTGTGAGGTGACAGCACTAACCACTGCACCTCAACAGGTTAAAGATCACTTTGCGGTAGCTTTGCACCTCTTGCGCCCATTCGTATTTGTATTTTGCATCTTTTTTAGGATGTTTTATGTCCCTCTGTGGATGATTTCTGTCTCTTTTTCCCCCTTTCAACTAATCTTTGTGGTCACTTTCAATCTTTTTATTTATTACTGTGTCTCTTTACTAATTTTGAAAGTCCCTGTTGATTGTTTCCATCTGTCGTGTGTCACCTTACACATTTTGTCCCATAGGTGTAGCTTTTGTTATTGTCGTTTTCACTTTTTGCCCCTTCCACTGAGTTATTTTTCTATTTCTGGTCATCTGAGCGACTTTATAATAATGTTAAGAGACAATTGCATAGTGAGGATCTGGTCCATGGGCCCCATGATACCGTGGGCACCTGTTGTCTTTGCTGCTAAACCCTTTGTGTAATCCAGCCATTCGGTATTGATTAAAATCAACATAAGCCCAGATTAACCCCCCTTGGATACATCAACAATCTAATTTGTGAAATAATCACCAAAATAGTTAAAAGATTCACTCTGTCTGATCTCTGGTGCATTGCATTCGCCATGCACACTGTGCACTTGACCTCAGTTTATTCTTCTGCACTTGCAAAGAAAAAAACGAGAAAAAAAAATAAAAATAAATAAGTAGAACATATATACAACATCAATCAGACCTCCCTCACCCTATTTGCTCCCACCAGAAGCCACCCAGCGAGCACCAGGGCTAACCCCGCTGACCTGACCCAGATATTAACCCAAGCCTCCAGATGTGAACGCGTACTAGGATTACTCCACCGCTGCATCAAGCTCCACATGCTTTCCTAATGAGGCATCCTAAAATGACCCTGGAGACAGAGCGGACTGTCTGCCTCTGTACTGTCGGCCTCTATTCCCACAACTCAGCCTCTCCGTCACAATCACCCTCCGATCTGCTAACGCGTGGAGGAAAACACAACTTATCCACGCTGACAAGAGGATGAGGAGAGCATTAGTCAGTACAAATACGAATCAGTCGTCTCCCTAAAGCGACTGACCTCATGCAGCAGCCTAGAAAACTCGTCACAAGCCAATAAAATATTGCACATTTTCTGCTTCAGCTGGACTTTGTTTGCGTTATTTATTTATTTATAACCAGGCAGCTTCTTTTATCAGATCTCACTGGTGATGCTTTCCATCTCTACCTCTTTTCACCTCCACTTGAGTGTCAGCCGCAATCAAAATAAAGTTATGGAGACGAGAAGAGCGGCATCTCTCATGAAAGCCTCGCTAACTTGTCCTGCACCGGCTGTCTGGCTCGTTTGGAGAAGGAAGGGAAAGGTGGCACTTTCACTCGCACCAGTCACAACCTGAGTGCTTTGCAGAAGCGTCCAATATGAAGGAATTTAACTCCTTCTCCGCATCAATGTGGCTATTGTAGCCATCGCATTCTTTCAGAGGGGGTCTGCTTCGATCCACCCCCCACACCGCCACCACCAGCCCCCTCAACTTGTGCCATGTCGGCAAGTTACAAACTTCACCGCAAACGATACAAAGCACGAAACACGCGTGTGACAGCCAGCTGTAGGGGATCGCGACGACGCGCAAGTGTGGCAAGTTTGATCGGCCTGCTAAGTAGCTCAAATTTGCAAGAGATCAAGAAGGGACAGAGAGAGAGGGAGAGAGGGAAAAAAATAAACAAAAATGCAGCTCTGCTCTGTAGCCTACCATTTTGATCCAGCGTTTCGAGGCTCAAAGGAGTCCCAGAATAACTCCTTTCGCACCAGTTTCCCCCTCGCCATGAAAATGACCGTTGGATTGTCACATTTCTCCAGTTTTTTTTTTTTTTTTGCCTTATCCTGAATCTTTTTTCCCCCCCGTGCTGCTGTAGCATTCAGACAGACAAAAATGCAGAGGCTGCTTTTGCAGAAGGAATTGGTGATTGGAGCTCAGGGATCATATGGGCTTTTTTGTCAGACGTTTTTAAAGGGACACGGTACTGTTTAATGCTGGAGTTGCGAGACAGGCGCTTCTCTCTCTCTCTCTCCTCCTTTTGTACTGCACGTGAGCGTTTTAAAGCGAGGAGGAGGAATACAGACGCAGGCGTGGATGGCGCAAAGCCCCGGGTGCGCTTTCTCTCACTGTGCGCTCCTGTAACGGTGTGACGTCAGGGCGGGCAGACAGATGCGGAGGTCAGCGAGTTCACCGGTTTCCCACATTACAGAAGTCATCCTAACTTCATTTGGCGCCACACATCTGCGCTATCGTAACTTTCTTTTTTTTGAGTGCGTGCTAAGAGCGCAGAAATATGGTTATGTTATGCACATTGTGCAAAATGGTAACTAAGAGATAATCCACAAAATGTGCAAAATTTCAAATAAAAATCCGCACTGCAATTCCCCCTTTACATAAGGGCCCCATTACCTGCTACTGGGGGCCAAGAATGGCTTTGAAACACTTAACGGAACCACACCGCCCATCTTTTATATACAAGAAGAACCCAGTGGTCTGCTCACTTCAAAGGAAATAAACAGTCTCTCATTTTCATGCTAGTTTCAATTCCATCCAGGCACGACTGTGGACCTGCACAAGGCTGGAATGGGCTCCAAACCCTCACTCTGGAGCTCCATGCAAGATCTTTCCCCATCAAGTGAGGATGATCATGAGAAAGGTGGCGGATCGGACCAAAATGGACTGGACTGATTCTTATATAGCACTTTTCTAATCTCCCAGAGTACTCAAAGCGCTGTATACAACATGGATAAAGTCAAGTGCAAACTAACCAACATTCACACTCAGATGAACACATCAGAGGCTAACTTGGGATTAGTATCCTTGCCCAAGGATATTTGACTAGAGAAGCCAAGGATCGAACCACCAACCTTCCAATCAGTAGCTGATCTGCTTTGCCACCTGAGCCACAGCCACCTGCAAGCGCCTCCTGTGGTCCCAAGAACACCATTAGTAACAGACTGTATATAGAAAACCTGCAGCTCCCCCTGCTCAAGAAGCCCCTCTGAAGTTTGCCAGTAAACATTTAAATGAATAAGAGAAGGTTTAGGAGAAAATGTTATGGTCAGATCAGATGAAACCAAAATCGAGCTCTTCGGCACGAACTCAACCTGATGTTTGGAGGAAGAGAAATGCTGAGTATGATCCAAAGAACACTATCCACACAGTCAAGCACGGAGGTGGAAACATGCTTTGGGCTGTGTTTTTGCTAAGGGTACAGGGCGACTTTACCACACTGAGTGGTCAGAAAGGAGTGACTAAACACATTTTCTTATACAAGACAAGATTTCACCTTTCACGTTTTGTCCAACAAAAGTTGTATTTTCTCATGTTCGACTCACTGGAACTTCCTGACATCCCTGGAGTCCTGGGCCGAGGCTAGGTTTCCTCTGGTAAATCATGCTTGTCTCGAGGCCCCCTGTGAGATTCCTGCACGACAGCCCCTCTGAATATCCTGTCTGTAGAATCATAGCAAGGTGGGAAGAATTACAACCTGGAGAAAGTCCCATACCTGTATTAATTCATGTTCAGGAGGCATAAACAAACACATTATGCTGTTTAGGTTGCTCAGGTAAACCAGGAATTCAACGTTTTAGACAAAACAAGAGAAAAGAACAAGCGATATAGCTTAATATATTATTTTTCTTTTGCTCTTTAACGCCTTTTAATCTGGGAGATGTCTTAGCTTTTCTATAACATTGAAAAATGACCTTTTTTATGTAAAGGCAAAGGCAACAGTAACTCAAATAACCCCTCATCGCAACCAAAGTATGCAGAAGACCATCTCTGAAAACACACTGAACCTTGAAGCAGCAGAAGACCACACCCAGCACCACTCAAAAAACAGGAAACTGAAGCTACAGTTGACACAGACTCACCAAAATTGGACAAGATTGTTTTTTTGTTTTTTTTTTTTTTTAAATGATTGAGTCAGAATTTGTCATAAACAGCATGGATCCATCCTGCATCATAATAACAGTTCAAGCCACTGGTGGTGGTGCTGTGATGTGTGGTGGATATTTTTTGGGCTCATTAGTACCAACCGACTGTACATAGTTTAAACACCACATCCTTCCCTTTATGACCACAGTGTAGCTACATTCTCCTGGCTGTTTTGAGCACAATCTTGAACATGACAGTGGGTTCACTGTACTCAAATGACCTCCACAGTCACCAGATCTCAATCCAATAGAGCACCTTTGGGATGTGGTGAAACGGGAGATTCATCCCGGATGTGCAGCCGACAACTGTGTGATGATGTCATGTCAATATGGACAAATCTCTTGAGGAATGTTTACAGGAATTTAGCAGTCCTAAAGGCAAACTGGAGCACTACCTAATACAGTGGTTATTGAACATAACATGTAGCTCATGGACAGTTCTTAGAACAAGTAACACATGATTGGAATCATTGTTCTATTTGTAATGAAAGAAAACTGGAATCCATATCATCCGTTTGACTAAATATGGCACAGTTAGGACTTCACGGTGGGGCTTACCGTTTTGTTCTCTTAAGCACACATAGTTAAACACACTACAGCTATAAACTGAAGGTAGATGGCACCATTGCTGAGGTACAAATAATTCAGAGATCCTGAGAAAGCAAAGAAAAACACAAAATACCAGACCAGAGTTCAAGATGTGTTGGTATTTATTAAATGTAAACATTTAGAACTGAATAAACCTAAATCTGTGGTACCATACTTTGAGTTTAGTTTGAACATTCATGATACAATAAAATAAAAGCACTGAAAAAAAAAGTTATAAAAACAAATTATTCCATTCAGTGATGACTTTAGGAAAACTTTCAAAGCTTAATGCAAAACCTCAAAAACACATGAAGACTGAGACGATTAGACTCTTATACTGTAACAACGTCAGTGTATAAAAGAAGTAGAAAACACAATCCATGAATATAAAATTATTTAATTATTTAGAGTAAATTTGTCATAATATTAGTATTAAGCATAGAGCATATTTCACTTTCAAACTTTGTTTGATGGACTATGTTGGCAGATTTTCAGCCACTTGTTGTGACAGCCCCAAAAAGGAGGCCTTTGTATCAGCTTGTAAAGTGGTTTATAAATTTACATTCATTTCCTCAGTAATTATAATGCCAGCTTGTGCCAGGTGGACATACACAACCATGTTAAACTGACCATAAGACTGGATTTAATTCTTCCTCTTAGAGCTTTAGGAGCTGATCTTTGAATATATGACAGTGTCCAGACTTTGTGGTTCTGATCCTTGTCATCGGGTGTAAACCAGCAGGTTGCCTTAAGGCGCAGCTCAGCTGTACCGACTGCTGCGACTGTGGCTCCTGCGCCTAGACGAACTGCGACTGGACGAGCCATACGACCTGCAGACAAAAGAAAACGTTTCACCTTTGAGGCACTGCAGAGGTGTTTACAATGCACAGACGTGTGGAGAACATTTAGTAGGGTGTTTTGGCTTCTTTTATCTTAAACACCAAAACACATGTGAAAAAACAATGATTTTCAACAGGACAGAAAGATTTGAGAGGGCGAAAAGGTTGAAGTGAGACCGGCCACATCGTTAGTGTCTGTCAGAGTTCACCTGGGAACTCAGTCTTACCGCGATCGGCGGTCTGAGCTCCTGTAGCTGTCACTTCGCCTGCGCCCTCGTCTCCTGCTCACACTCCGACTCCGACTGGAATAGCTGTCATAGGAGTCTGACCTGCATTAACATCCAGCCAGGTGACAACACAGATATTATTTTGGGAATAGTAACAGAATGACACCGAATTCAGTGATGACATGTAGAGCTTTAAGACCCATTTCTGACATGGTTACAAATACAGCTCAAAAGTAATTATCAGGGCTTCATAAGCTTAACTGTAACTACTTTTAAGCAGCAAAAAGTGGGTTACTTATCATTTTAAAAGGACATGCAGTCCAAAAATAATAGATATGAGCAAACAAGAACAACATCACTGAGAATTTAAATATTTTAATAGTTGTAATCGGTGAAAAACAAGCTCAACAATGGTAATGAGATCACGGTATAAGGGAACACAATGTGTCAGGAAATCGGCTGTTAGAATGTACTGTTAGAAAGAGCAGATTGGTGAGTTTCGTGTGGTTTCTGATACGTAACAACAGCAGTGGCTCCAGATGTGCTCGCAAAAGTCCTGGACTAGTTTGACTATTGTATGGATGCCGTGTGTTAACATTGAGCACTTGTGGATATTTTAAATTTTGTGTGTAAAATTTTATATTAAGCTATTTACTTCAAGATTTTATGTCCATTACTATAAAATATAATATATTTTTAACTCTGATGATTCTCTTTGACACACTGTATTTTAAAAGGTGACATTTAGTGCCAAAAGCAGACTTTTCAGTATTAATTTTACTACCCTGTAAAATAGGGCAGTTCATATAACGATATATATCGGATGACGATATAAAAACATCTATCATTTCATTTTACGCCATCGTTTGTTTCGTGGTGTCGCAAAATAAACTGTTTACGGCAATATTTTTTCACCGTTTTGATGGTCACTGTAATGGCTATATTAATTTCTTAAAGTTCTCTCTTTTTCTTATATTTAATATAACCACACTACGGACGGACAAGCGCCTGTTTTATGCATTGTGGTTAGCAACAACGTCCGCTTGTTTATTTTCCACATAAACCTTTCACAATAAAGCTCAAGATCCTGTTGAGACTTTTCAAAATAAACTGAATCACGTGAAAGAGTATGCAGATTATTTACGGATGAGAAGCAAAAAAGAGCCGCCAGGTGCTAAAAAATAAACCTTAGACTCAAATGTTAGAACAGCCTTTTCCCCGCAGCACGCCGTGCACAAAGAGAACGGCGGCCGTTACAACTTACAAAATATATAGTTTCACGTGTCAGTTAAAACACTCGACTCCAGCATCATGAGGCGCAGCTGGAAACACTTCACGCAAGTCGAGCTGCCCGAGATTCACAGAATTTACAGAAGATTTTGTGATTTATATCGTTATCGGGACGATACATGTCTTATATCGGGATATGAGATTTTGGTCATATCGCACAGCCCTACTGTAAAACCTTTCAAGCCCTGTTTAAAGACCTTCAGCTCAAAGTTTTGTGTCCATCTTAAGACTTATGGATCCTGTTTTTGGTCTAATGTCTGATCATTACAACAATCCCATCAATCTGACTGTACCAAGTTTTGTTTTACCAGTTTCAAGCAATCATCTTCTCTGGTGCCACATTAAATGTTATTGAAAATACTAATGAATCTGCACATGCTTTTAGGTTTTGAAATATCTATAGTATTTATCAAAAGTCTAAACGTTTCTTTGTCTGACCAACAGTCCTGCTGGTAAACCTGCTGCTTAATAAGACGAAGCAGAAAATATTCACAACCTCAGCGATATTCGGCCAAAATTATGAGGGCTGTAAAAAAATCAACTGATCTCTTACAAACTTATACGCATCGTTTCTATGCGTGTTCTCAGTTATATTGCCATTTTATAAGCTCAACATACTTCATTGCGTTTCTATGAACAATTCCACATTTCTAAATGTGACTTAAGTGTCCTCACACACCTGGATCTTCTCCGGCGAATATATGAGCGGCTTCTGGAATGACTTCTACTGTACGTCCGGCTGACGGGAACAACAGAAAACACCAAAAATCAGAGGTTTAACTTCAACATCACAGGTTAGTAACTGTTAAAACGTTGTGGGCACATTTATAAAGACATTTTTGAGTTTTCTTCTTAGGAATCTACACAGAAATCTAAAATGCCAACTACAGAATATTCCCTATCAGATCTTGCACTTGTCCCATGAGTGTTTCATAGTGTACCTGTGACTCCTGTAACTGCGGTACATGGTGCTGCGAGAGCGAGATCGTCCTCTCCCACGTCTCCTCCAACTCCGGCTACGGCTCCTAAAAGAGCAACGATGCTGTAACTTACATCTCACTCACATTCAGAGATGGAAATTGAAAAGAATTTAGCGATTCCATTATCAGCATCACTTATCCATTCGATTCTCTTATCAATTGTTCTCACTGGCTCAGTTTTGAGAGTCAATGCCATTGTTAAACAGCAGTAAAGAAATTACATTCATCTAAATGAAATGCATGCTGTGGGTCAAATGTTTGTGCATGTTGAGATTTCCCCTCTTTGTTGTGATCAGTGTTAGAGTCGTTACTCAAAAAAGTCATTATTGGACACAACACTTTTCTTAAAAGTAATGCAGCATGTTACTTAATTACTACTGGGACAAGTAATTTGTTATACTGTTTGCAAAGAACTGAAGTTGTGTTGGCAGCATAATACGGTTGTTTCTGTCCTGGATGCAGTTTTCCACTTTACCATTGATCTCGTACATAACCACGCTCTAGTGGTATTTAAGTTGGTACTTTCCTCTGTCACGTGAATTAAGGTCAGCTGATTGTAGCGTGAGTGCAAGATTGATCGATAAGCAGCCAGACTAATAGTCCCAAGGAATTGGACTACTGGGAATCAGTTTTCTACAAAAAAACGGTTCTTGATTACCATTCCTACTCACATCAAACAATTTATTAGGATTCAAAGGTGGCGTCTGTAAATGCTTTATTCTCACTTACCTGGAGGAGTAGCTGGAGCTACGGGATCTACTCCTGGACCTGCTGTAGGAGTGGGACCACCCCCGGGAGCGTGACCGGTGACTGGAAACAGAGCGGGACTTTCTAGACAAGGACCTGGACGTCTTTGGAGACCGTGTGCGTGACGTTCCCTTTGCATTTCCCACAGAGGGGGATCTCTCTTCACTGGAGCTCTCCTGGTTTCTCGGCCTCTGGTTGAGCCGCGCCGTCTTACGGACCTCATCGAACAGAGATCCCGGTCGGACCCGGCTTTTGCTTTTTATCTCCATTCTCACTCCCTGCATGTTGCCGGTCTGGTTCTCTTGAGCCTGGACATTTTTCACAGTGACAGGGGGAGCATTCACAGTCTGTACAGCTGACGTTCCTTTCAGTGGCCTCCATTTTAAATTGATTACAGTGGCAGCAGGCTTGCCAGCGGTTCCTTTGTCTTGCGATCCGCCAGCTGTTGTTGTGGAACTAACGGCAGGCTGTGCTTTGCTATGAGATAAAGCAGTGTCATTGTTTTCCATCTCAAAAGAGTTTGAGGTAGATTTTAGGGTTATTTTAGGAACGCTGTTGTGAGGATGACATGGGACTGAAGGTTCAACAATTTCAGCATCATGCTCCGGAGTACAAATGTCCATGTCATCTAATGTCTCTGGCTCCTGGACACTTGGCCAGTGAGAATCGCTGGCGCTATTCCTGTTGGATGACTCTAGATGAGGTTCAGTGTGTTTTGCATTTTTGTTGATACCTTCTTTTGTCCTCTGTTGCCCCCTTTCTTCTTCTTTAGTAGGATTACAGCTTGCAGTTTGGTCCTTTGCATTGAGGTTATTAACGTCAGCACTTTTTTTAACAACTCTTCCAGGACTATGTCTTTCCCTTTTGGATTCGTCTTCTTCTTCCTCCTCTTCAAACTCTAAAGGTGGTTGCCAGTGAAAAGTCTCTTTCAGCTTCTGATGTTTTCGCTTAGTTTTCTTGGCCTTGTCCTTACTGTGGTGGGAACCGCCTTTATTCTCACTTCTCCTCTTATGTTTATGCTTACGTTTAGCTTTCTTCTTGCTCTTGTGCTTCTCTGGCTCTGCCGCTTTCTCTGGGCTTTCCTCTGACTGACCAGAAGCTGCCAGAGCATTCCCTCCATCAGATGTTTTTCTGGAAATCTCATAATCCGATTCTGAACTAGCTTCCCCTTCCTCTTTTTCAGAAATAGCTAAAGTCCTGGCTGTTAAATTTTCAGAGTCACTTTCTGAATTCCATCCAGAGATAGAAGATAACTTCTTTTCCAGAGACTCGGCATACTGAGCCACCCTTATCTGCATTTTCAATGGGATAGCGCTGTTGCTCTGGCTCACCTTATCACTGTCACTGTCCCATTCAGACCTGTTATTAAAAGTCTCTGCTGGCACTGAACTGCAATGCTTCGTCTCCAGATCCTCTGAGCTTCCCTTGTCTTTTATTTTCTCCACAGAGCCAATAACACCAGGGCTGCGCTCACTGTCTGTCCTGTTCTCCGATCCCGAGTGACCATCTTGACTAAGGCTTACTGAAATTAACTTATCCAAATTCTTTACTCTGCTCAGAGAACTGTAGTACTCCTTCCACTCCTTGTCTAGTGACTCCTTCTTTGCGTTACTTGTTTTCGGGGACTTTTCAGACTCTGATCTGCTGTAGGACGATGACCTGCTCTTGTGCCGGTGAGCGGACCTGGACCTGGACCTACTGTAACTCCGACTCCGTGAGCGACTATAAGAACGGCTGTAAGATTTACTCCTGGATGAGCTGCTGCGTGAGCGCCGTGAAGGTTTTTGTGCTGTGTTGTCTTCAGAGTCACCTGGCAGAGACTTTGGCGTAGCTGAAGTCTGAGCTTTATCTGCTGCGCCATCGACTGCTTGCCCAGTGGAAGAAATGTTGCTGGGAGCTACTTTAGCTTTAATTTCCTGAATATGGATGTAGGAGGGTTTCCATGGTTTCTGACCCGGTTTCCAGCGAGAGGGAGGTGGACTGTCGCTCAATGGGATCACAGGGACACTTTCAGGAGCTGGGACAGCTGGCAGTCTGGGGACAGGTGCGACTTTGCTCTCTTGAAGCTTCTCATTCACAGGGATCATGGCATCTGGTTTGCTTGTTTTTTTCTTTCTCGGAGATCTGGAAAAACTCCTTTTTCTGGGTGGCGTCAAAGATCTCGATCTGGATCTGTACCTTGATTTAGACCGGGAGTGAGAATGGGACCAAGACCTAGATCTAGAGAAAGATCGCCCTCTAGATCCAGACCGGCTTCTAGATCTTGAGTAAGACAGGGACCTTCCTTGAGATCTGGATCGACTGGATGTGTATGACTTAGAGTAGGATCGGGAATCTCCGTATGACCCCGAGGATCGGCGTCTCCTTCTGTTTGATGAGTGGTGTTGACTCGAAGAAGAACGAGTTAGCGAACGAGATTTTCTGAACCCTTTCTCTGAAGACACAGACCTTTCTCCATCTGACTGGTTTTGATGTTTGCTCTTGGAACTCTTCTTCTTGTTATGTTTCCGCTTTTTGGCCTTTTTCTTGCGTTTAGATTTCTTCTTCGCCTTCTTCTGTTGGCAGCGCTGGCTGGACCTCTCCGAGCTGCGGTCTGAGGAGTGCTCTGCAGACTGGGACCACGCAGAGTCGCTTCTGTTGTCCCATCTGCTTGAGGAATGGTCATTCAATCTGTTAAGCCAAAAGACGCATGAAAGCAAATAGAAGGAAAACTAGTGTTTAAAGTGAGGAAGGAAAACACTTGGTCATACTTGTCTCCTTTGCTCCACCGCTCAATGCTTGGGGGTTGATAAATTTTGGTTCTCTTCATTTCTTCTTTCCAGTGCGGCGGAGTTTCACTGCTTCCACGCTCCTCTACAGATGCAGAGCGTGATTTAGACCTCGTAGGAGTGTGATACCGCTGCGAAAGACAAAAAAAGTAAAAACTGTGCATTTGAAAACAATTCATTAAAACTAATTCTGCATAAGAGTTAGACTAGATAAACAGGTTTTACAAAATTCACTCCTGTGACTCAAAAAGAAATCCAAAAATTTGAATATTTGAATATACATTATGTTAGTAATCTCTGATCTTAGTTGAGGTGAGCTTACTATTGTTCCTCTGCCTCTGATCTTCCGTCCAGACTTGGACACAGCTGGTTTCGGGTCAGCTGGAAGAGTTGCTTCTTCTTTTTCAACTCTGAAAATTAATTTGAAATTGAAATCAAATTGCAGCACTTGCTGTGTTTACTTAGATTAGTGTTTTGGTTGCTCATTAAAAAAAAAAAAAAGTATATAAATGAAGAACAACTTTGAACTGACATTTCTGCTTTATCTTCCTGAGATGGCATGTCCCGTCGCAGCAGGAAGCGGTTTTCTGGCACAGGTGGTATTTCCTCTGGCCGAACAACGGGCTTCTCTCTCTTCCCACCCAGCTCCCTCTCTTCTTCCACCTTGTTCTCTCCCTCCCGTAGCTCTCTTCCCACAGGACTGTGACAGCAGTTATATTTTTATTAAGAAAACAACAAAAAGCTCCTACAGATGTCAGTACTGAACTCTATACAGTCAATTGGTGAAAACTGACAACACACAAGATATGTGTAAGTATTTATTAAAGAACGTTATAATGTGATCATGAACAAGAACTTGCATAATAAAATAAATAAAAATCACCTTTGCTTGGAAGGCAGACTATCTGCATCTTTGTCCTTCCTTGACAGTCTCCTTTTCTTTTTAGGCCGTTTACTTTTCGAATGTCTCTTTTGCTTGTAACGCCTGTGCTTTTCATCAAGTTCACTTTCAGACTCCACTGAGGAGAACTGGGAGAACGAGTCATGGGAGCTCAGGGACGAGTCAGCAGAATGGGAAGTTCTTTTCCGCTTGCCTTCTAGCACTGCAGGAAGAAATACAACAGAACGTGTGGAAATAAATTAAAATGTGCTAATTCTGAAGAATACTTGACTCGTATAGTTAGTAAAAGAAGAGAGAAAGCTCAGACGCCAGGAGTCATTTTCATGATGGTACAAGTACAAGAAAAGCTTTGTCTGTTCTTTCCTGGTATGTTCAAGGCAATGAAAGCAGGCCTGGCAGAGTCAGGTGGGCTGAAGCCAACTAAACTCCACAGAGATCACCTCGCTGATCCTCATTAAACAGAAGATCCAGTTACACACCCTGTGTTAATGCCAGTGGCGGGGGGAGACGCTGGCATCCAAACGCCAACAAAATGAACACCAGCATGAAATAAGAGCCAGTTATAATCACAGGCAACACACGTTATCCCTCACGGGAAACAAAAACAAATGAGCATAAAATGTGTAACTTTCACTACAGATATTCTATTAAAGCTTTTGTATTATAACAAAACGTACAGTCACACTACACTGGCTGAGTGGCAACACATCTACATCTATCCATACAGTGGGTCTGTATTCTAAGGGTATTGTCTAATAGTATCTTCTCAAAGATCAAAGAAAAAATTTGGATACAATTCTCCAAAAACTACAGTACCCAGGATGCACGGGACCTTTTCATCAGATTTACTTATCAAAAATAACTGAATAAATACAACAAAGCGAATCCTAACAATTAAGAAGGTTACTGAACGTACCATCGTTTGCAGACTTGGTGATCAGCTGACCACAGTCGATCACTCTCACGTCAGCGTACGGTCTGCTGGCAGAATCAGTCTTCAGCCCCTCAATCTTCTTTATCACTTCAAATCCGGAGATGACCAGACCAAAGACGACGTGGACTCTGCATAGACGCAAGACAGACTTGAAACTAAAAGCAACATTAAATGTACTATTATGTTAGTTTTAAGTCCTGGAGAGCATTTAGGTTTTGCCTCAATCAACTTCCTATGACAGAATATCCTACATTAGCACAGTACATTGAGCTAAAGTTTGAAAACTACCAAAAGGGTTCTAATCTATTAAAATCCCACTCACACAGGCCTGCGTAACAGCTAGCAACTGCGAGTGGTTGCTGGAGGTTGCTTCCTGATGCTTGGTAAAATTGTCCATTTACGTTGTTTGCACAGCGTCTTCCATGCAAACTACGAGTGACCAAGGCAATCTGCTAAAGACCAAAGGAACCACCAGGAGGTTTTTTGGTGAACCAACCTATTGGCAACCCATTTCACTTAGTGACAGCCAGCAAATATTCAGCAACCGGTCAAGGAATACACATCTTTCCTTAGCAACAGGTGCTTGCTGAGTGATTGCCAGCCTGTGTGACTAATGCCAAACATGCTATAATCAGTTTAGTAACATAGAAACCTAACGATAGTTGTTGGGATTTTTTTTTTTCCAAAAAGTTTCATATCAATACACTGAAAGTCTCATTTTCAGATTTCTATATAGAATTACAATGTGAAATAATAATATCAGATGTACCTACCCATCAAGATGAGGCGCCATCTTAGTTGTGCTGATTATGGATAATCCAGCAGTAAGTGAGGTGGGGAGTCAACCAAAGGTGGAAGCCGGGCCATGAAAGTGGGAAAAAAGAGAAAAGAATGACAATAAACAAATACCTCGATCAAAGCGGGGATGCTACTGTACCACAGGGAAAATCTCAAAAGGAATTGTGCAACAAACCTTTCTTTAATGACATCTGATTGCAACCCAATTATGAAAACACTCAACAGCAGAGTGTGGTAAATTACATTATCATTTTTTCCTGTTATAAAAATCAATTTGCACAAAGACTACATATCTACATTTCCTCCTTCGAGAATTTGTAATCATGGAGGAAAATGTCAATTGTATGTTCAGAACCTGCTTTTGTGACAACGGAAGCCAAAATAACATTTTGAGTCACCTCAAGCCATTTGTCAAATATTTAAGCAAGTCCAACAATTGCAAAGACAAACTACTCAATGATAAATACAGTCAGGAGAGAGAGAAACACAGCCTTTGAGACACATTACCTTGGAAGAGCAGGATGCTAGAGTTTCTGTAAATTTTACACAAAAACGGCAAGAGAAAAAATGTAACAATTGTAGGTGAAAAAGAATGAATCCAATGTTTCTCTGCACTTTGAAACTAACTGCACACAGAAGAAGGGACTGCTGATGGTCACACTTAATGACAAATTCTACTCTAAAAATCTCAAAACAGGAAAAAAAAAGGGATAGAAAGCAAAAACTAATAAGAAACTTTCTTAAGAATGACAGTAAAATAGTGGTGGTTGGGGGGTAAGTTTTTAAAAGCAATGTTTTAATTTAAAAGTTACTCACATAAAAAACTGTGAGCCGTTGGTGTCCTTCCCACGATTGGCCATCGACAGCAGGAAGGCTCTGTCGTGTTTGAGAGTGAAGTTCTCATCTGTCGGGGGCAGATGCAGAGGATGCAAGTGTTAATAAAAATAGTCATTTAAAAAAACAAAAAGGTTTAATAATTCATTAAAGCTTTTCGCTGTCTCACCAACCTATCCTTCCATAAAGTCAGCTCTAACAAAAGGTTTCTGTCGGGCCAAATATTACTGCAGTCTTTTTATAAAGTACCAAACCAGTAATGACTTTCAACAACTTGCACTTTTCAGATGAAAAGGTACCACACTGGTTTCTGTTCACATCATAGCTACAAGCAGATCTGCTTGCTGATGTGTGCAATATGTTACGTGCATTTCTCAAAGTCAACCTTACATCACAGTCTTCAAGTCAGAGCTGCATTCTGATATATTCAAGGGTTAATCCGCTGTAGGAGTTCCAGAAAACACACTCAGTCGAATTTGTAAAAGGAACCATTATCTTTTGCTTGCACAGCTACCAGGAATAAACTTTGCAAGTTGTGTTTAGAAGTCTGGTTTACATATTGCTCTGGAGTTCACCCTCGGGTTTAGCAGGGTGACATAAGCTTTGTTTCTAAAAGTTAGAGAAAAATGTCCAAACCACTGATTTAGGAGATTCTCAACGAGGGTCTGGTCCATCTCAAAAGTAAGCACCATCACTGACAGTGCTTACTTTGAGGGCTCTGCTTAGAAAAAGCAGTTACGGCTGTAACAGTAACATAAGGCGGTACGACGCTGTTGGATCACTTCAAGTTTCAAGGGGTTTTTCAAAGCTGGAGATTAATGAGTGCTTTGCAAAAACAAAATAGTCCCTGTAATGTACAGTTTTAACAAAGAGATTATATACAATATAAAAGTTAAAAGTGGAATATCTTCTTACTAATGAGCAAAACCACCCGTCTGGTTCTGGCTCCATGTCCTGCTAGTTTCACCTATTTAACATAAAAACCCTAATCTGAGCAGGGGGGACCTTTCAGTACAAATGTGAATCTGTGACGCTGCGAGCATTTGCACTGCTTTCACTGACTGAGGAAGGTGGTGGGGACGATGTTGGCATGGTGTTACGGAGCTGTGTACATCTCTTACCTTTTCATTTTGCAAAAGACCACTCTATAAATAAGAGAATATGTTGAAAATTTTAGGCAGGAAGATTGTAGCTTTCAGTAAAGAGAATGCCTACTCTCCATGTTGATTTGATAAAGCCTACTGCTGTTACTACATAGAAGAACTACACAATGGAAAAGTGAAGGTCAGCGCAGTCAAACATAGGACAATTCGCACACAAAAACCCATTAACCATCTATGCAACTTTATATGCATGCTTTGTTTTTGTTTTTTTAGTACAGATATGCATCACTATTATTAGATTATTAGATAACTTGATATTCCAAATACCTTCAAAGTAGCCTCCATATATGGATTCCCCTCCTCTTCCATTTCCTGCAAAGATTAATAAAGTCAAATAAATTCACAGCAGCTTCTTTATATTGCAGCAGTATAATTGTGTGTAGCTGCTGAAAAAGATGCTGCCTCATCAGCAAAGGCAGCAGTGATTCATGTTTATTGGGCTCATTTTTGAAGTGGCTGCCATGTTCAGGAAACTGTAGTCTCCTGGATTCCTGCCATGAACACCCACAACAAAGCCGCAGAGCATGTTTACGGTATGTTGGCACTTTGATGAGATTAACAGCTTTGATCAGTTTTTATCCATTTTAATTTGGCCTGTAATTAATGTTATTATTGAAAAACATTTTCCACCTGGAGAGCATTTAATCCATCTTTAAAACAACCCAAACGAGAGGTTTTTTTTTCGCCCCGCTCACATAAGCTGTGTTACGCTCTGTTGGCTTTCATTAGATTTTGGACTGAAACGAACAAACTAGCAAATTAGAAAAAGGTGGAGCACTGTGAACACGTTCTTAGGTAAACAGGGGATTATAACATTACCTTCAGTAAAGTCGCCTCCCTGAATCATAAAGTTTTTTACAACTCGGTGAAACGTGGAGCCTTTGTAGCACAGCTTTTTCCTTGTGACTTTCCCAGTTCCCCTTTCACCTGCAATGACATGCATGTTAACTGAGCTCTTGCCAAAAAACAAAAACACTCAACCTGCTAATACACAAAGTGCTTCTGTGTTTACTAGATGGGTTTAAGAAACAAAGGCTTTTAATATTGCCACAAAGGAATGAAAACCACATTTGGGTGGTGGCTTTCAGTAAGCTATATGCCTTTAGTCTGGCATCCTGCTGGTACTCCCTTGGAGGACTGCCAAATTCATTAATAAATCTTCCACTGGACCAATACTAACCAGGGACACAATACTGGCCCAAAGCTATTACCCTCCAGAGTCCCCTTACTCCTGGGGTGAAATGACGTGAAGGCAGGATTTAATTAGATGTGGTGATGTGTTGAAGGTGGCTTTCAGCAGAAAGAGGCTGTGTGTCCTATTGAAAAGCTAAGCTAAGGGTTTAGTATTTTACTTCTTTGGCTTCGGCACTGTTCCAGGGGTTTGGTTTCCTTTGGAGTGAGCTGATCCAATTCTAAAAGGACACATTAGAAACTTAGAGAAAGTCAGCAAACTGCACCAGCTGAATGCGGGTGTGTATTACTGCTTCACTGGTGTGCTGTCTGTGCATGTGTTGGTTCAGGAACAGACTAACGAGCCTTTTCCCATGTCTGCCTTTGCTGCCATCGCATTCCCGTTGGCCAGGTAGGGTGAAAAATGAGACGGGGGGATTGCTCGGCTATGTGTCTGCAGATTTATGACTTTCTCTAGGCAAACCACTGCCTCTACAGTACACTACACTGCTCTGTGGGATGAAATATCTAGGGAAACAGAGCAGCCACAACATAAGTCATAAAATGGTATATGTTTTTTATTACGTTATTGTCATTTTATTTCACTTATTTAATAACGTTCTCATTGCTATTGTATTGCAGTGCTTGGATAAACCTTGTTAAGTTGCACTTCTGTGAGGCCAAACAGATGAGGTTGACAACATTTGTGATGCAGCACATCACAGGACGTTATCTCTCAAAATTATGTCAGAAAATGTTATTTTATTGAACAGTTTCTGACGCTTAAACTTCAGCAAACCTCTCGACTGTGAGAGAAAACCTCTTCTCTAAAGCTGTGACCCAATCAGTCAGCGAGGGAAATTTGCCCCTTTAACACTTTATTTATGGTCATTTGTACAAGCAGACGAGCCTTTGGAAAGAGGTTTAAACCACTGCAAATATGTTTCTGTAAATTCCTTCAAAGTTCAACAGGAAGTTAAGCACCCCCCAAAATATCCATCACAGATGAAAAGATACAGCGTGAAAACTACGGACTGGTGTGGTGCAGTAAATGAGTTTTGTTGTTTTTAAACTTTGTTTTCCCCTCACTTCAGCTTTTAGTTACAATGATCCCGGTATAACCACTGCGTTAGTCGCTTTGCACGCTGATGTTATCACTGTCACAGAACCACTTCTGTTTATGCTCACTGTTAAAGCGCAGGTAGCGTGTGCAGTATTCTCCTGAAGGCTAGGTGTCGCCACGTCAGCGCTGATAAAGGAAAGAAGTCAAAACTGGAAGCAAAGACATTGCCGTGTGTGTTTATTCAAGAAAGTCTAATCTTTTCAAACTGCTGTAGCTTCCCTCCATGTGTAGTGTGTCAATCTATGAGCTTGTGTATGGATATATCATTAAAACTGCAATTAAAAACTGACTATCATACACTTCATACGTGTCTTCAACTCAGAATTGCAGAAACGAAACGAAATGAAACTAAAACACTGTACAATCTGCCATGAATGGCAATGGCAACAGTGCCATCACTATTCTCTGCAGCGTTGGAGTACCCCAGAGATTTTTGACACTGCCCCTATCTGACAACGGAAAATCTGTGCAGGTGGATCAACGGACTACCAACGATTGCCGACGCACTACTACCGCTGGACAATAATTCCCACATCAGCGATCCTGCCGACTCTTCAGTCTTTAGCCTGTGGTGATAATGCTGTGTAGACTTTGATCAATAAACAGCCTTTTGTCAACAAAGTGGATTATTTATTTGGCGATTTATAAACCTGCTACAATTCACTATTTACCTGCATCGTTATGAAACCACTGGGGACAATTTGACATTTGATAAAAATGAATTTAAACAAATACACAGAAAAGAAAGCTACATAAATGAAATCTGTTTTTCCATGTTAATCAAGTAGTTTTGAAATTTTAGAGTAAAAGTAGTGAAAATCTTGCACTTTAGTCTGGTTTTTGCCATGTTGAATCACATTTTTAAGCAGAATTACTCAAATATGCGATTAACAAAATGCTGTAAAGTCATGACATTTGACTGGAAGATATCTCTGAATGAGGATTACTCACCAGTGCACAAACAGAGGAAGTTTTTGCTGGTCTTGGGACAAATATCCGAAAAAAGCTGAAAGACTATACGCCCAACTACAAGACACATAAGGGGGAAAGAAGAGTCACTAAAAGTATCATCTTTAAACAAAGTCAAAATAAATATAAATACATATAAACAACAACATGTAAACAACCGAAAACAATCTTTAATAGTTCACAGCTACATTTTCTATTACAAGCTACAATTTTGTATTACAGAAACTGTAGCTAATGGCAAGTCTGATACTATGTGAGGGACAGCTGTGGAAGAAGAGCAACAGCTACATCTTTCAGGATAAAGTCACTAAAACAGTCTGGTCAATATTTCCATTCTCAGCAGCTATCAGGGGTTATATAGAAATATAACCTCTCAGCACAGATACAGCTGACGCTAAACCAGTCTACCAAGTTTATTCACCACTGAGTGAGCCACTTTCATTTTGTAAATGAATATCAATGAAAAGCTTGAACACCAAAAACAAAATCTATACATAACATTAATTTAAAAATCCTTTTTTCACATATCAGTTTACATATCACTTTGGAAGTTAAGGTAGGCTCTAACTAACTATTCCCTCCACCTGTAAATTGATAAGGATTTCCCTTACTTGGCTCCCGGTTGAGCTCCACATCAAAGTAACACTGAGGGCGGTCTTTCACCCCCATTGTGATCAAAGTCCAGATGACCTAAAATGCAAAAACAAAAGAAGCTAAGCATAAAAAAAACAATGCTGCCCCCCCCCCCTTTTTTTTTTATACGTATGTTTAAGCCAACAGAGACACAGCACATTGGAAAGAGGCTGTATACAACGGAGAGACTAAATGACAGCAAAGGAGGAAGAAACAGAAAGGGGAGGAGAGAGCAATGGTGGGGGAGAGGGAGAGACAGAGAGAAGTCTGTGGGGAAATACAGAGACTATGCAAATCCGAGCAGAGCGCACCACAGACTCCTTACTGTATATTTATTGCTCTGTGACAAACACTGAAATGTCACCACTCTGGCTGAGCCTGCTTTGTAACATTAACAATAACCTGGAAGTGTATCTACAGCTTTTAGTTTGAGCACGTTTGATTTATATATGGACAAGCACCCAGCAGGCAATTAAAGCAAGCACCATCAATAGATCCCAATGTTTACCTTCATCATGTGACATATATATATACATATATATATACATATATATATACACACACACACATATATACACACATATATATATATATACACATACATACATATACATATATATATACACATATATATATATAAAAAGGGATATATATATATACATTAAAAAAAATCTCCTCAAAACCATGCACCAACTTGTTTAATGTCAGTGCTTTACTGCTGAGCCATGAGTTGGAAAACCACAATGTTTTTAGTGCAGTTTTAATCACAGCTACAGTACAAGGAAATGTTTGGTCTATCTGGAATTTGTGTGGGTGAGCAGACTGACCTGCCAAAGAGCTTCACAGTAATGAAAGTGCAACACAGTACGGAAGAGGAAAAAAAAAAGAAATCACAACAACTTCTCAGCAATGTGCATTCATCAAATTCTCTTCTTTTCATGTCCATGGTATGTGCTCAATATTTCTTTTCTTTTTCTTTTTTTTTTTAACTGTGTGCAGCTCATGTGAGTGAACGTGAGCTGCAGTGTTTTGTGTTATTAGCTGTAGTTTAACTTTAGCTTTCCCCCAGAACACAAGAAGAGAAGTGAGCTTGGTGTTAAGTTGGAGTGTTTTCTGGCATTACTGCACAGGAGGAAGTATATCAAGGTGTCAAGATGATAATACTGAATCTATACATAGCCGCCTAAGGGGCCTGTCTTTTCAGATAAGCAGAGCTGCATTGCATTTACAGCAGAACTCGTGTCATATTACTAGCCTTGACTATGTTTGGTTAACGAGGAATGGCATCTGCATGAACAGTTAGTTCGTGGCTGCTACGAATAGAAAACAATAACCAACTTCTGGAGAAGTCCCTCCTCCACTGAGCTCTTTAGATATTTACCTTGCATGTCATGCAAACTACAGTAACCACTAAAGCGGACTTCTCTCCCACCCAAAAACAAAACAAAACAAAACCCTAAAACAATGCTGTAAACCCAGAAACCGAGAATGTCCTTTTGCATTTCTTGTATAACGTTAGCAGCCAGCACGGCACACCTTGTAGCTCGCGTTTATCTGAAAACGACCTAAGGTTACTGAGGGTTTAAGCCATGCTGCGAGTATTAAAACGGTGTGAAATCTCCCCAGGCTACAACGACAACACTGTTCACACAAATGTTAGGCGCTTTTCCAAAGCGGCGGAGCTAACAGCTAGGAGCTGGCTAAAGTTAGCTAAGCAGCTTACGTAAAAAAATCACTCGTTTGCAGAGACTGTTAGCATTTATTTCAACGCTGAAAATCCTACCAAATGTTATTAAAAGCTTTGATTTATGTAACTTACCTCTGTACAGTAGCTAGCCAAGAATCAGCTAGTCACTGACGGTCGCCACTTAGCATTTGAGTTCCCTTTTTTGAGTGACGAGTGCTGGTTAGAAAGCCGACTGGCGGGTGGGCGGTTCAGTAGTTTTGTCTCTTTCGGCTTGCCGTAGAAGATTTGTTGTGGTTTTGTTGTACCAGGAAGCACATTTGAAGTTAGCTCGCTGGACTAATTTTGATTTAAGGTCTTACTTCGCTATTATAAGTCGTTATTAAGGACGGCTCTCTTTATCTATCATTGATTGCTTTTGCATCGTGAAGCTGGGGCGGGTTTCCTGCCTGCTTATGGCGTGTTTTTGTTTGTGATAAGATGCATTAGTCAGCTAAACTACAATAGCTTAGGGACAAGGTGCAGCATGAAACCCATGATAATGAGGTAAGCTGCAACGAGATGTTGTCACGAGTGTTTAAATTGTCTTAGCTCAAAGATTTCTAAGTGGTGTTTAACTACAGAGACTACAGAGATTTTAAACCTACGCAGTTTCCCTGTTCAGTTACCATCTATTCACACCAACTGAACCTAATGCAGTCTGAAATGCAGTGTTTAGTTTTTTTCGGAAAGTTATTTATTTAGTTAGTTAATGTAAGGAGAATTAATGAAAACAATATCACATTTCACGTAGACAAATATCGTTACCAATGGTGATAGACAGATTGACAGGTGAGGTCAGACAGGAGTCTCGCTGGTATATGATGTTTGCAGACAACGTTGGGATTTGTACTTAGAGGAAAGAGCAAGTGGGAAAGAACCTGAAAAGGTGCAGGTATGGTCCGGAGAAAAGAGGAATGAAAGTTAGTAAAATAAGAGGGAGAGGAAAGGTAATGAATGTCGATGGGCTACATACCTGGATTCAACCATCCAAAACAAGGCAGGTAGGGTGGAGTGTTACGAATGTCAGGGGCGATTAGTGGCAGAAGGATACCAGCAAGAGTGAAAGGGAAGTTTTACTAGATGGTTTGCAAGTTAGACCTCCTTTCATTTATGGGTTGGAGACAGTGGCACTGACAAAAAAACAAACAAAAAAACAGGAGGCACAGCTGGAGGTGCCAGAGGTGAGGATGTTAAGATTTTTTTTATTGGGACTGACCCAGATGGACAGGATTATAAATGAATACATCAGACAGTTCAGGTTTAGAGCTAGAGAGTTAGAGAGGCAAGGCTGAAATGCTTTGGATATGTGGAAAGCAGGAGTAGTGGATGGATACAGAGCTGCCATGCAGTAGGAAAAGAGGAAGACCATAGAGGAGCTTTGTTGATGTATAGTGAAAGAGGACACTTCTGAGGATAGGGTCCGATGGGGGCAGAAGCAGCTGAAAGAAGAAGAAGAAGAAGAAGAAATATTGTGACCAAAATATTCTACATGAAGTATTTTATTATAATAGAATAATAACACACAATTTGATAAGAAAGGAAAATGTAGTGTAAAAAATATAGAATACTAAATTTGAGTGTAAGACTAACAGCTCAGTTTATTTTATATGTGTTATTAGCATGATACCAGCTGTATTTATTTATACTACTGACAGTTTATATAACAGTTATCATCAGCACTATATCCCCAACTTAAATGTGCTATTCCAATCAATATGATAACAGTAATCTGATCTTGCTTTGTGCTCCGTGTAGGCAGTGTGTGCTTCATGGACCGAGTGGATAATGTCTGTGATCCTGTTTGCCTTTGTGGTTCGGGTCAGGGATGGACTCCCCCTGTCAGCCTCCACAGACTTTGAACACAACCGAGAGCTCCAGCAGAGGAAGCAGCAGATTAAGACCATCAGCAAGGCGCTGGCCCGCTTCCCAGACAGAGGGACCATTAAGGGCCAGGAGCTCAATATATAGTAAGAAAGCAGCAGCACACAGATTCATAAGAACCTCTCTAACTGCAAAAATGCACAACACACAGCCTTAAAGCAAATCAGCACGTATTTGATTTTGTGGTACGGTCGACATATGCAGTGTTGTCCATGTGAACAGAGGGGCATCCACGTCACGCTGCTTCAGGCTGTTTGTTTACTAAACACCTTTTCTCCTCTCACCTGTTCAGCTTCGTCTCTTCAGAGGGTGTATCCTACATGACTGTGTGTCACTGCAGCCTCCCTGTTGCTAAAGCCTTCTGCTTCCTGGAAGATCTGCGCTGGGAGTTCACAGCATGCTTCAAAAGCACTGTTGTTGCCTTGGCAGCCAGGCCATATCCATTTTTGGAATTTGGTGAGGGGAGCGAAATTGCCTCGTATAGATTTGATAGTGTCTTTTGGGATTGCAATAGTTTTTTCTTTCTTTTGCTTTAAATTTAAGATGTGTTAAAACACAATTAAATAAATTAAATCTTTGAATTTACCTCTGACTCTTGCTGCCAACTGACAGACAGCATTATTCAGAAGCTGAAGCAGCAGTACAACCACAGTGGTGGCCCGGCCCTAGAGGTGACTTTGGCAGAAGTCCAGGAGGAGCTGAGGATCCATCCACCTCAAGTAATAAACCTGGATGAGGTGGAGCTAACCAATGGCACTGCAAATGGGCACATGGAGCAGGGTCCTGGATCTGGTAAGGCTAAAAGCACTTGAAACAAAGCACTCTGCTTCCTGCCTTTCACAGCCAGTATGAATTCTTTGTAATGCTGGAATGAGGATATTTTCTTGCTTCTCATTGTGTTTTCTTGTTTTGAAGTGTTTATATTGTTGCTTTCTTGTGTTTAACAGGTCAAAATCAAAGACTGGAACCAGTGACGGCCCCGGGCATCCTCTCTCTCATCCTCAATATCATGTGTGCGTCTTTGAATGTTATCCGTGGGGTTCACCTCATGGAGTACACGTTCCAGGTACAATTAGTGCTGGCATCTGATTACTGTCATTTCAAATATTATTAATGGTGCTGTTTACTTGGGGAGTCTAAATGATGTGAAAAAACAATCATAAGCTGTAACTTTCTCTCTTGCATAGCAAACCAGTTTGTTTGTTTAAGTCGGGAGATTTGGAAATAGGCTTGCATAAGCTAATTTTAATTACAGATAAGGTAAGCTGGCTGAACTGACCGCTGTGCATTAGCATTTTACTGTGAAAGCTGAGTTGTTATCATGAGGTGTGCACAAATTGGGTGAATTAATCAGAAATAAACGCAGCAAGCCGACTGAGACCGGAATTACAAATCAACTTTTTTAAAAGTTTATGTATTATTTTCGTTTTCGCAGGATGATTATGAAAGCATTTGGAATGTTGTGGCATTTCTCCTGGCATTTGCTTGCTGTGTTTTTCAGGTAAATAGTAGTTCACATAGTAGCTTGACTCTTGATTGCAAACAGAAATATGCTGCCGCCCATCTTTCTCTGACGCTTCTCCGTGTGAATCGCTCCGTAGTGCCACCTCTACCTTTTCCACTCATCTCTGAAGAAACTGAAGTGCTTCACTCTGTTAAGTGTGATCGTCCTATGCAACTTGCACCTGCTCGGCTTGAGAAATGCGTGGCAGCTCCTCTTCCACGTTTCCGTTGCCTCCTTGTCTACCGTGCTCATCCTGACTCGCAAAGTCCAAGACAGAACCAGCGACTGTGGCGTCTGAAGAGCGCAGGACAGCGAAATTTGTTGCACCGCTGCAGTTTTCAGTGCAGGTGAGAAAGAGCGAGGACGTAATCGGCTTGTGGATTTTTAACAAAAGATTGAAAAAGTACAATAACAGGCTCGTATTTTCTCATGTGCCGTATGTACTCGAACTTTCTGTACATTTGTGTACAACAAGAATATCGAAAAATGCAGTGATTTTTGGATTCTTAAAATGCTCCGATTAACCGCAAACCAGGGAAAAATGCATATGAAGAACAACACTGATGAATCCCAGTCAAGCCTAACTTTTAGGAAAAGTTTTGAAAGAAGATGGAAGAGCCTTTTTTCAGTCAAAGTTTTTCCCGTTATGTTGGTGGGTTTATAATTGAATGCATTTGTTCTCACACCCAGCTCAGTATTTCTGCTGTCACAGAGCACTGATTAGCTTTTCATAATCATTTTACACTCAGTGACATCAAGTTAAAATTGATTTCAGTTGTACTTTTCCCAGAAAATAAGATAGTCCGTCCCGCGCTGGTAGGCGTATGATAACTAAATTATTTAATGTAGCTTAACTGAATTACTCTATAGCCTAAAAAGGAAAAATGTGTAAATGTAAAGCTATGGTTGCTTTACTTCTTTCTGTGTGGCAGTGCAAATATGGTTGATAGATTTGGTTTATTTTGTTATACATTTTATAGCCAGTGCTCAGCTTCTCGTTGCAAAGGTTCACATTTAAGGGCTCCGTTATTTAGTAACTTCACTGTCTGTTCTTAAAGGGAATGTGTTAATCATATGTTCAGCTGTGGTTTGATTTTGAGGTTTGTTTGTTTTTTAACAACGACTAATTTTAGACCCCTCGTTAGAAGAAAGTTGTTTCACCTCATCTCCAAAATTTGCTTGCATCCTTTCTGTTGATCTCTAAATTGTGATAATATCAATATGCTTGTTTTATTAAGCTATTGCTAAGGTCAGCCTTAGCTGTTCTTCCTGAGACCTGTACTATGAAGAAAGTTCAACATACCAGGGTATCTTTATGCTACCTGTTTACTTATGCTAAAGCTGGCAATCAGCAGTCACGTGAAGCTAATTATTGACTCCCTGAAATTAACCCAGGGTCTCCTTTGGGCCTTCAATTGAAAGGGGTGGTGTTGGCAGTATCTGACCAATCACAAACGTGGATAACTGCTGGCAGTATAGCCGCTGATTTTACAAAGGAAGATAAAATAATACAATGGGAGAAACATGAAAAGGTTAAACACGTAAAAGAGACTGAAAGCAACACACCCACTGCAGACTTAGGAGCAAGATGAAGCAAGATGAGTGTCTGCCAAATCCAGCTTCATAGTACGGGCCTTGGGAGTCTGGTATGCATTCACAATGATGCAAAAAGAAGAAGCAAGCTCTTCTTATAAAGGTATTATTAAAATTCGTAGACAAGAACATGAAAGGTTTGTTTTAACTACCTATAACAGGATATTAAACAGCATATTTTGTATTGAATGTACACGTTTCCAACAATAAGTAATCCTTCTTCTCCAGTGTAATTCCTATTTCATGTTTCCACATATGAGAAAGTATGTGAGCGTGTAAAAGCACTGATTATATTGCAGTTTGTTAGAAAAACTGCACTATTTATAGAGACAATTATGAAAATTGTCCTTTGAATATGTTCCTGTTTTCTGTTTACCTGTTGGTTTGTTTAAAAAGCCTCTATTTCCTAGGGAGTGGAGTAGGTCCAATATTTGTTTCTCACATTGATGTAAACATAGAAATCTAGATAAATACCACCGCTGTGCTGCTGAAGAAGTAGACTAAGAATAATTTTACTGTCAGTTTTTGTTTTTCTTACGCACTCCGTTTTTAATGGCTAAAAGTTGCACTCAATATCAGAGGAAGTAGATCGTTAGTTTTATATAGTTAGTTAAACACGTAGCATCAGGAATTATGTAAAATCCATCCTTTCTTTTTTAATGTTTGATCCCTTGTTCGAGGACTTTTAAAGGCTGCATTTCTTACAGCAATCTGAAGGTCTTTAACTTTATTGCACTGTTAGAGAGGGACAAAAAAGCTATCATTAGTTTTATTGTAATGTAGCTTCAGTTTACACATGTGTGCCCTTTAGTAATGCTAGACTTTACTTTTTTCTTAAAAAAGGTTGTTTTATCCTGAACTCCTGGCATTTGCTTGATGAAAAGCCTTTAGATTCACTGAAGTTCACTGGGGCTGCGAGGTTTCAAGTAGATTTTAAGATTAGGGAATAGTGAACTGTTCAAACAACATAATTTTGTTTTTAATTGTTATGCTACTGATTAATTGAGTCCAACTGTTATATTGGGGCGGCGGGTATGTTCGCTGTTGATATCAGCATCTATGTATAACCATCATAAATAAAAATTAAAAAGTAAAGGAGAGATGGAGAACACGCCCTCCATCCATGGTATGAATGTTGATGTTGGTGTAGTGTGTGAACCAGAGGACCCTCTGCAACATCTCTGTGGGCAGCATTAGTGTGAACGCCACAAACACAAGCAGCTGATCTGAGTAGAGTCGGGCTGAGCATAAACGAGTAATCTGCAACTTGTTGTGACAATAAAGCAAGATTATTTTTAAAGTACGCTGTCATGATATCTCAGTAAGGACTCATAAAGAAATTACAGATAACAAATGTTTGGGAACTTTATGTTTTGTGAACCCAGAAGAAAAAATATTGTTCGGTATTGGTTTTAAAAATCCTATGCCTGTCAGCCGCTACTGGATATTTTGTGTGGAGGATTTTGGTGATGCTAATATTTTTGATATGTAGGAGGTTTTACTGATTCAGCATTTTCCAGTAGAGAAACTGTATTTAAATACACTGCTGACCAAATGATTTGTAACAAAATGTTTTTAAGATGTTGAACCAAACCATTTGGAGCATTTTTTTTTCCTCTTGAAATGAAAACGAAGGATAAAGTTTGTTTTTAAAAGAAAACATACAGTACAAATCCAGCCTGTAACTGAAATGTGACAGTTTGCAGGTTAGAAAACCCTTTATGTTGGCGAGACCAGCCTGAGTCTCTAATCCTTGGACTCCTTATTTGTATAAATTGTGGGTTTACTGTTTTGTGACTCTATTTATAATGATTGAAAATGATGGAACTGTGTCATTTATTGTAACTGCCAAAAACGCTTTTGATTACAGGGCATTTTCCCCATCTGGTAAAACTGACATTTCATCAATAAATAGTGTATTTTTTTCCATTTCCTTATTTTTGCTTTGTGAGTTCATGGCAGAAAAACCTGCAGCAGTGATTGAACAGTACCAACATGAAAAATGTTAATTACTTTGACTAATGGGCCCATTTAACTTTTATATATGTCTATATGCAGAATTTTAAATCTGAACTTGCATGCAAAGCAAAACAAAAAAGATTTTGGCCAAGTAACCAAATTAAAAATAATATGCCACAGCACACCTGAAATACTGACCACGCTGAGTGTACTTTCCAAATATTACACCAGATGGAGCTCTTACAGTGTCAAAGAGACTTGCAGTCACTGACAGAAACAAACGAAACTCAAAAATGTTTTGAAGCTTTTAAACACATGGAGAATATTGTGAAACAGCCCCGTGACACTAGATAATATAGTAAATATAGTTTTATTTATGTATTTAACATCGAAGATAAAATAAAGCCTGTTGGTAAGGGAGAAAATGTGCATAAAACTACTAATGTTACAACAGGTTACACAACACACTTGATAGAGAAGCTTTAAAGTTATGACATTAAACATGGACTAAATAAAATCCACATATATCCTTACCAACCACTTTATTATATTGTTGTTCATTCAAATATCTAATCAGCCAATCACATTGCAGTAAATGAGTGCATTTCGTATTGGAGATGATCTGCTGAAGTTCCAACTGAGAGTCAGAATAGAGAAGAAAAGTAATTTATATGAGTTTGAATGTGGGATGGTTGTTGGGGTCAGACGGGCTGGTCTGGTTATTTCAGAAACTGCTGATTTGCTGGGATTTTCCCGCATTACCATCTCTAGGATTTACAGAAAATGGTCTGAAAATATCCAGTGAGCGACAGTTATCTGGGTGAAATGCCTTTGTTAATGCCAGAGGTCAGAGGAGAATGACCAAGTTGATAGAAAGGCAGCACTCGCTCAAATAACCGATCATTACAACCAAGATATGCACATATTACTTTAAACCTTGAAGCAGAAGCAGAAGATGACATTGGGTGTCACTCCTGTCAGCAAAGAACAGGAAACTGAGGATACCGTTTACACGAGGTCACCAAAATTGGACAACAGACGACTGGAAAAACTTCTGATGAGTTTTGATCTCTGCTGTGATATTTGGATGGTACAGTCAAAATTTGGCGTGCCCCCACGCAAAGCACGGATCCATTCCTGCCTTGTATAAACTGTTCAGGCTGATGGTGGTGTACTGGTGTAGGATGTTTTTCTTGGCACACTTTGGCCCTTCAGTACAATATGAGCATCATTTAAACACCGCAGCATAAATAAGTATCCTTCCTCACCATGTCCATCCCTTTATGACTGCCATGTACCCATCTTGTAATACTAGCTTCCAGCAGGATAACACAACATGTCATAAAACTCAAATAATCTCAGACCGGTTACTTGAACACGACACTGAATCCACTATACTCAAATGGCCTCCACAATCACCACATCTCAATCCAAAAGAGCACCTTTGGGTTTGGGTGTTTTGTGTCACGGATGGATGCGCAGCCAACAAATCCGCAGAAACTTGGATGCTATCATGTCAGCATGGACTAAACCTATGTGATGAATGTTTCCAATGACGTGCTAGCGAGGAATAAAGGCAATTCAGGATGCAGAAGCATCTCCAGCCTGACCTTATGAATGTGTCGATTCAGATTAGCTGGTGCTTTTTATGCCATAAAAGAAGCCTTAGAAGATTAGGGTGTAAATGCACTGTATAGGATGTTTATATTAAATCCCCAGAGTCTTTGTTTCTAATGAATATTTTAGAATATTACAAAAAATCAGGCTTTTTTGACTAAATGTAAATTGATTTTAAAAAAGAAGCTGTTTACAGTAAATTGCTGTGTCTGAGAAAATTAAGCATTCCACATTAGGGTCAGTGTTCAGAGTCACTGATGTGCTTTTCAGGGGTTTAAATCTTTATTCAGCTGAAGGTACAGGACCAGCCTTGAGAGTAATG